ACACACACACACACATATATATACACACACACACACACACACACACACACACACACACACACACACACACACACACACACTAGCCTGAAATGTACTGACCTGTTCCTGATCCCTACCCTGCATCTTTTGATCCTAATCATGGCCAATCATCTGGCTGCTCTCCAAACCCAACACATTTCCTCTATGGGGATACTCCGCCCCTGGGTGGAGTTAAAATAATTGATAACAGATATAGGTGACTCAAGCCATCTCACTTTTGGCCTTGGAGACACAACTGGGGAAAAGAATGTTGCCAGGATATGTTTATGGTGTGAGTAGCTGACGTAGGAGTTACCTTTAGTCAATAGTTGAAACAGAACTCTTAAAATCAGTGACATTTATGACAGCGTAAGTGGTTCTCCTTTATGTTATTCTCACAACAGTCCTTGATGCAGGCTAAACTGAAAGACGGAGGCCGTGCATGGAATTTAAATCCAGCTCTCCCCAGAGCAAATCTATAGAGTTAGGGAAAGGCACGCATTGTGAGACCTGTGTTATTTTTAAAAACATGCGATATTTCAACCGTGACCAAGAACATTAACTTCAGAAGAAGTTGTAATCAACTTTTATTCAGAAAAGCCTTACTCAAAATCTTCCTTGCAAAAGGAGATGCTCCCACCCTCTTCAATACCTTTTGTATGATGTTTGTGCTGATGCAAGAGTTCTTTCAGAGATTCGGGGTTTTCAAACTCTTGAGAATACTGCAGAAAATCTTCAACTTGGTCAATTTTGCCAGCAAACTGTAGAGATACGGAAAACACACTCTTCAAAAAACTGCATGTATCATTGAAAAGAATCTAATAAGCTTCTCGACTGCTTTGCACATTATTAATATAATTGTTTGGTACTTCTAAAGCTGTCTTCCTCGACCTTGTACCTTTTAGATGAGGTAGATTACAATTTCAACAGTTCCCAGCCAGCAGCACTGAAAATAATTGCTGTTTCCAACACTTGTATGAAATAGGGTCCTCTTCAAAGAAAGGGAAACAAGGAGCTGTTATCTGCTTGATTGTTGCCCTTATCCTCTGGTTTTTGCTAGCTTAACAAGTTGTAAACAATGACTGAAATCTGAAATGCTGAGCATTGTGTTGACTTGGTAGAGCAAAGAACATCAGCCAAAACAGTTCTCTGGCAGGCAACATAATTGTTCAACTTTTTAAAAAATCCCACAGAGGTGTTGCTCTGTATTTCCTCTCCTGCACATAGCTGCCACTAACTGAATACAGCCTTGAGGAAACAGATGATTGCACCAAACAGAAATCCCCCTTTCCCCAATCCTCACATTCTTCCCTAAAGCGGAATGCTTTGAAATCAATTGAATCTAAAATCTACCAAACCCTCATACCCTGTAGCAAAATATGCATCTCAATAAAACAAAACAAAAATACTCTCCGCCGCCTCAAAAGGGCCCTAGAAAAGACTAATTTATCTTCCTTCTCAAAGACCTCATTGCAAGTATATCTTCTAAGGGGAAAGGCTCATGAAATAATGGCCACTACTGAAAAGGTATAATTCTTAGCCTTTTTTTGTTGTTGTTCCAAAATGGAACTTTGGGAGATTCACTGAAACAAAATAAAAGGACACTATATTTGAAAACACAAGCTTGCCTAGAGTGGCCAATTTTCCTGCCATTCATGCACCCTGCCTTTGTTTTTTGAAGGGAAATACTATTAGCTATATGTAAATTGGGAATACATTGTTGTGGCCTGTTGACCGCCAGCCCCTCCAGCAGCCGAATCAGAGGAGGAGGAAGTGTGGGAGTCAAGGTTAGCATCAAGGCAACCTGAGAGCTCAGAGAGGAAAGAGGGAGTGGAGTTGGGAGGGAGGGAGGGAGGGGGAGAGAGAGAGAGCCTGGGCCATCCATCAGTCCTGAAATGGAGAGTCAACAGCCCCCAGGTCTGGAGATGGCTGAGGAGGAAGAGGAGGAACAGCTGGGTCCAGTGCCTGACGCATGGATGCACAGGAGGCAGAGGAGAGAAGAACAGTGGAAATCTTTGGGCTGATCCTTGGGAAGGAAGAGCCACGGCTGCTAGGGAAGCCCCACCCTTAGCTCTGGGGATAAAAGGCATGAATAGATGTGGCATACAACTATTCATCTTCTGTCCGAAGGAGACATGTTAGCCTGCGGTGAGAGAGAAACTTTTTGCTGGGGTTGCCGGCGCTCCTAATAAAGGAATCGTTGAGTTAACTTCAGAAGTTTGGGGAGATGGGTGAGAAGATACACATATATCTAGGTCTAGAGCACAGGTGTCAAACTCGATCACGCCACAGTCTGGATCGTGACATATCGTGACATTTTTTGCCTTTGCGGAACCAGGATGGCTGTGGCCTGCACATGGCGTATCCAGCCCACGGGGTGCTAGTTTGACAGGATAGAGTTAACCTCTGCAGTTGTTAAGATGTGATTCATTTTAATTTTTAGCTGTAATTTAATTAGTTGAACAGTGTTACCAGAGGCAGGCTCTTCAAAACCAGATGATAACTAGATGGCAGGAAAGATCTAGCGATTTTTGCTTCAGCCTAAATTTTTGAAACCTGGGTCAAGTAGTTTAACATGTTATGGTTTACCATATTGGCCCAGTGGGAGTTTAGCCATCGATCCAAAACAGTGCATCTGCAATGAGTGTTCGTGCACGCTAGTAGTATTGCTTTTATTTTAGGTTTATTTCATTTTATTTGGTTTCTAAACTCGTTACATATTTCAAGCAAGCTAATAGCTTTGCCTTCTCTCCCCTAAATAACATTGCTGTTCATAAGAGAGAAAACCCCTGATCAGGATATTGGTACTTCAGATGAAATTAAGAAAGATCGTGAAAAATGATGCCTTTTGCTCAGTCTGCTTTTTCTCAAACATTCTGTCTGTTTTTGTTTTTATTTTTTTTAATGATAGAAAATAAATCCATTATCCTCCAGCGTTTGGGATTTAACTTCTGACTTTCATTAAAGAATATCCTGGAGATGAGGCTTGTGTTTTATCATAATAAAACAAAGATTACATATAATCATATTCTGTCAATTAAAGCAAAGCTTTTCAGCAAGAGGCTTCCAGGATTTTCCATTTGAAAGGGACACGTGCTATTTCCCATTTGCCCTTTGCTTAGATATTTCAAGAACAATAAGGCTGGATCCTTGGTTCCATTTTTTTTACTACTTCAAGGAATCTGATAGTGTGTATAACCATCTGCCTATCCGTCTCTGCATGTGTTTCCATCCTGCTGAGAGAAATTCCCCTAGTTCAGAACCGCAACAGCAGTTGCTATAAATCTCCCCTTGGGGCCCCGGTATGACTTATGCTTTGATAATTTCCATAACCGAGAAAGGAAGGGTAGCCCTACTTCTCAAATGTTGGGATCAAGATAGTGGTGCCTCATTGAAGAACAGGTGACTTCCTCACGAGCAGTGGTGGGATGCAACCAATTTAATAACTGGTTTGGTGAGCACACGCATGTGCTCTATACACACATATGCACCTAACGTGTGGTTTGCCGCGTTCAAAAACCACCTATTCTAAGCTTCAAAACTTACTTCCTATGTCAGTGCCAGTAAGTAAAACAGCTGACGCCTGTGCAATTTGCTGTGCCGCGTGAATCAGCTGAGCTAAAAAACAGGGAAATACAGGACAGGAAAGGGCGGGAGCAGTTGGGCGGGGCCAAATTCTCACTGGAACTACCCGTTTGCCCGAACCGGTCCGAACCGCCTGAATCCCACCCGTGCTCAGGAGTAGTGGGCCCTACCATCCAAATGAATTATGTGGGACTCCTTCAACACTGAATAAAAGAACTGATAGATCAGAAAGTAGTAATTAAAAGAGAAAAATGGTACTCCAAAGCCAATATATAGAGACAGGCCATTGTTGTTGTTGTTGTTTTGCTAAAAAGAACAGAGAGAGAGGTGTAATTTGCAGGTAGTCCTCGATCGACAACAGTTCATTTAGTGACCATTCAAAGTCACGATGGCACTGAAAAAAGTGACTTAGCAATGTTTTTCACTCTCACGACCATTGCAGCGTCCCCATGGTCACGTGATCCAAATTCACACTCCTGGCAACTGACTCGTGTTCATGATAATTGCAGTGTCCCGAGGTCATGTGATTACCTGCTGAGACTTCCTGACCAGCAAAGTCAAGGGAAAAGGCAGATTCACTCAACAACCGTGCGACTCACGTACCAACTGCAGTGATTCGCTTAACAATTGTGGCAAGGAAAGTTGTAAAATGGAGCAAGGTTCACTGAACAAATGCCTTGCAACAATTGAGCTCAATTGAGGTCGTAAGTCGAGGATTACCTATGCAGGATGCAAGGAGTATATGGCAAGAGTTTTATCCGTTCAGTTGCTTCAGTGGTGGGTTTCAAAAAAATTTGGAACCTCTTCTGTAGGTGTGGCCTGCTTTCCGGGTCCACTGGTGGAACCTCTTCTAACCGGTTTGGTAGATTTGATGAACCAGTTCTACCGAACTGGTACGAATTGGTAGGAACCCACCTCTGAGTTGCTTGTCTCCTTTTCTTTTGTTGTCCCACCCAAGGCCGGGTTTCTGGTTGTTTGCTTTCAGAGGATACTCTGAAAGTAATTATTCGGTAGGATAAGACATGAAACAATAATTCTGCATTTCACGAAGACACTTATTCTCCAGTTAAGAAGAGTAACAGCAATGCCACTGGACAAATAGCTACTAAAGGAGATGATACGTTCCCTTTTCCCGGGATGTTAAGGCAGTAATCAACATCATCTTCTTGACTTTTTTGACTGGCCATGGATGGCCTTAATTTGGATTTCTGTGGATTTGGAGTGGGTGGATCCAGAGGGGGGCTTCAAAAAATTTAGCAAGGGGTTCTTTGCCCGGTTTCTGGGTGGGTGTGGCCATGGTAGCGATTGCCTAGTTGGCCTCCTGCACCATGGTAGGCTTTCCTCGAGCCTCTGGGAGGGCGAAAATGGCCTCCCCAGACTCTGAAGGCCCTCTGGAGGCTGGAAATGGGCCTGTTTCACCCCTTCCCAAATTTCTGGTAAGCCCATTTTTTTTGCCCTCCCCGAGCCTCCGCATGCGCCCTGCATTTACCTGCATCCAAAACGGGCTGCGTGGAGACTCCTGGGAAGGGTGGGGTTGTTGGGGCCAGAAAGGAGTGGTATTTGGGTGGTTCTCCGAACTGCACAGGATCTTAGCTACAGGTTCTCCCAAACCTCTGTGAACTCCCAGCAGTCAACCCCTCAAAAGTCGCTACCAGCTCTATTATTTTATTTCCTAAGATTCCACTGCCGTAATACATTTCCCTGCCCCATTTTTTTTTGCTCTACTTTTGGTTCTGACCATTCCTATGGAAACAGAAAAACAGCTGCAATTATCTCCCCCCCCCCGCCCCGTTCTACAGTAAGAAAAACTATCAAGCAGAAAGGGATACTTGAAATGCAACAATGATTTGTTTTCTTTGAAGATGAAACGCATTTCCCCTTCTTGTAGACTGACCTCTAGAGCATTTTCAAAGAAATCCAAGCTCAGTTTTAACAGCGTCCTCCGCTTCTCCAGAACAATCGTCAGGGAGTCCCAGGCATCTCCCAGAGTCTCTGCCATGGCTTCGTACACCTGCTCTTCATCTTGATGCTCTGTGGCTGTCTTGTCGGCTTCCCGTAAGAGATCCCAAACTTGGCCTTCTAAGGGCTACAGATAAAAGAAAAAAATGGATGAGAAATCAGTATGAAAGTCTCCTGGCAGTATGGACAAAACTCCTTTAGATTTGCTCTGTTCTTTGACTGAAAAAAAAAATCCCAAAAAATTCAGGACACTCCACCTCTCCCTTTTACCCAGAGACAGGGCCACTTCGGGAGGTTACAGCATCCCTGCCTTTCTGCCCATCGCAAGAACACCCCTGAATGCTGGCTCCTCTGCTGACTTCCTTCTTGGCTGGACCAGATACTGGACACCCTCTGGAGAAGCATCTATACCTCCTTCCGCATGCTCGGGAGGTCTTATTGAAGCCACAGGGGCTGCAAATGAGAGGGTGGCAGCTGCTACTCTAGAGCAGGGCCGCCAAACACAAGGCCCACAGGCCTGATCTGGCCCACAATGTGGTCAGATCCGGCCCACGGAGCTGTCCTGGAAAATGTAAGGGGCCAGCCTGCATCACTTCGGCCCAGTCTACCAATGCGAAGAGGAAACATCGGGCCAGCATGGCTTCAGCCTGGTCTACCCAGTGCGAAGAGGAAACATGCCAGCAGTTGGGGGAGTAGCGTCAAGCTGGCCACTCCCACCAGTTGGCCACACCCACCCAGTTGGCCTCACGTACCTGGCCCTCTGAGATCAACCATAGCCCTGATGTGGCCCTCAAAAGAAAATAACTGTGCTCTGATTTGCTGTGGCCAAGAGTGGTGGAACCGGATTATAATCCAACTGATCTGCCAGACTGTGCCCTTATCCACACTGCCCACACTTTTCTAGTGATGAGGACACTGCCCAGTGTTCCTATCACTAGAATGAGCAGGTATTTGTTTCTGGACAACATTGTCAACTAGGACTCCTCACTCACTTCCATTTGTTTCCATGTTCCACTTCAAAATATACTTTCCTCTTAGTATCACCTTGTAGTTCTGTTTGGGCTACAGTGTTTCTGTTAGTTGTATGCTAACCACCTCCATTGAGAGCCAGTGTGGTATAGTGGTGAAGGTCCTTGACTAGAAACTGGGAGACCATCTTGGGCACAAAACCAAGGATGGATGACCTTGGGCCAGTCCTTCTCTCTCAGCCCTGGGAAGAAGGAAATGTCAAGCCACTTCTGAAATTCATGACAAGATAAATGCAGAAACTGATCGGGGCTGTCCTAGGAGTCAACATATATTTTGTAAGCTGCCTTGAGTCGCTATGTGTGAGTAGGCGGCAATATAAATTTTCTAAATAAATAAATAAACTAACTAACCAACCAAGTAACAAATAAATAAATTACTTAAAGGCACCAAGAACTAAACAAAGTAAAACCTCAACCGCACAGCACTTGGTTGGCTATTTGGAGTTAACTCCCACCTTCAGCCTAATTGTTGCATCACCACAGTCTGTCTCTACATCTATCTCTATCTCTATCTCTATCTCTATCTCTATCTCTATCTCTCTCTATCTCTATCTCTATCTCTATCATCTCTCTCTCTCTCTCTCTCTCTCTCTCTCTCTCTCTCTCTCTATCTATCTATCTATCTATCTATCTATCTATCTATCTATCTCTCTCTATTTCTACCTCTACCTCTACCTCTACCTCTACCTACCTACCAGGGGTGGGTTCCTGCCTCTTCTATAGGTTCCACAAATCTACAGTGCTGTTTAGAACCGGTTCCAGCTCCCTCCCCCCGCCCATCCGCATATCATCAAGATGAAGAGTGAGAGGAGGAATTCTGGGAGTTGAAGTCCACAAGTCTTAAAGCTGCCAAGTTTGAACACCCCTGGGTTTTTTTTCTAAAGGGTTAGGGGCACAAGAGTCTTGTAACTTGACAGCTTTAAGACTTGCGTGCTTCAAATGCCAGAGTTTCTGAGCCAAAATTTTGGTTGCTAAGCAAGAGCGTTGTTAAGTGAGTTTCACCACATTTTACAAGTTGGCCCAGTCACATGGCTGGCAAGCCACTCCCACCCAGTCACATGGCTGGCAAGCCACTCCCACAAAGCAGGCCACACCTACAGAAGAGGTTCTGAAAAAATTTGAAACCCACCACACCTACCTACCTACCTACCTATCTATCTATCTCTATATGTATCTATCTCTATATGTATCTATCTTTATCAGTTTATCTATCTATCATATCTATCTGAGAGAGAGAGAGAGAGAGAGAGAGAGAGAGAGAGAGAGAGAGAGAGAGAGAGAGAGAGAGAGAGAGAGAGAGAGAGAGAGAGAGATTGGTAATAGTACTATATTGTTAGGGTGAATATTGACTATTTGCAAAAAATGTTGCAATAAAAAGTCAAAATATTCATTTTGATCTTAATGAATATTAAGCAGTCTTTTTATCTTAAACTGAGACTGGTTCAATGTATTTTCCCCTTTATTTGACACCACAGAATGTTTAAAAAGTATTGCCTGTGAAAGTTATTATGTTGTAAGTTTAAAATGATGGAGAGGATATCTTGATATATAATATGAGCTTGGCCCACTTTTATCTCATTTTGTTTGGTTGTTAATATGAATCTGGGAAAAGGAATTACTGTAGGCTTAAAGATATGCATATAATTCTGAATTATATAACCCCAATTCAGAATTTATTAATATATAAAAGAGTATGAATTTGCCTAGCATGAAGAATTACCATTCTTTTATAATGGAAAGGCAGCATCCTGCATTTTAAGTCTTGGATAAATGACATGTTTGCTCTGCTTTATGAATTTGCTTTTTATTGACGTGATAGAAAAACTGATCAACATGATTCCATGTAGTCAAGTTTTCACACCGTGCTTAAAACCTGAGTGGTTTTTATATCTATTATAACATTTGTTTCTTTTTATTATTTTTGTGGCTTTTTAATTTCTTTCTGTATATTAAAGATTTTTTTAAAAAAATATTCAGTGGTTCATAGGAGTGGCACTGTGGACTAGAGGTGGAGCTTTTGCCTCAGAATCAGAAGGCTGTGAGTTCGATCCTAGTTAGCAGCAGAGATTTCTCTTTTTTGGGTGCAGTGAATAATTGTCTGCTGTGAACTCTGTGTAGGCCTCAGGAAGGGCAACCGGCCTTCTGAGGCAACTGAGCTCCATTCAGTTGCCCGGACTCAACTCCAATGCAAGGGATTACAGAATCGTTACAGATTAACCATGTTTTAGTTCATTGTGGTATTGTGTGTTTAAACATACTCAGATTAATCTCATAATTTCAAAGAGTACAGGTACCTGCTTGTCCTATAAGCTTAGCAACTGGGTTATCCAAAGGCGTTATGGAGCAAGGTGAAATGTATTCATTGTTGAATTAGAAATACAGATAAGATACAGGACGTCCTTGAGCCCTTGAGCCTAGCAATTATGGGTATAAGTCTTCATGGCCATAAAGTGATCAGACCCAATTTTATGACTTGTTTCTCAGCAGACACTGAGTGACTACCATGGTTGTTAAGTAAAAATTGCAGTTGTTGCATGGTTGTCTAGCAAACCTGTTCTGACCCCCCTCGTCCCACACCAACACACTCCGAGCCAAAGATAAATTACGGCATTTAATTAACAGGCAGACAGGTCCTTGGCAGCAAACCGGCACAGACAAGCTTGGGCAACAATCCAGCACAGATA